CAGGCGCGTGTCCAAGTATGTAGTCGCAGTTCCTGAAGGGCCACTTAGGTTCGTCACGGCAAGCTATCTTATCTCAATGCGCCCAATGATGCCACAAGCGAATGCGATTGACAATCACTTATAAGCCACTGTTACCTCTCAGACAGTGAGTTGCACACGGACTGCGAGGACACTGCCAGTCCGCTCCCCAGTGCCGGAGTTTAGTCCCGAGGGGGACATCAGCACGCTGGAGATCAACCAGCGGCAACTGCCAGCCGAGAAATCAGCTCCGGATTTTGTACACAATAAACCCTCCTCCGGTTGGAATCCAAAGTTACGCCCTTCTTACTGTGTTCTTCCTTGGGGACTCGAACGGGCGTAATTAGACGGTGACACCACTGAAATCACCGTTACAACAAAGATATCCATTGATTTGTCTTAAATGTGGGGTGGCCGCGAAGTGACGGATAATTATCACCTGGGAACATGCCTGGGTATAGAAAGGAAGGTTAAATGGCCATTTTTGGTTGAAACCGGCCAGACAACGAGCCAGTTGCCCAATCAACGGGTCATGGGTCCGAGCTCGGATGGCGCAACATCTGGTGTTGGGTATGGCTGGCTGGTGACCGTAACTGAGCTAGAAGTGGTTATTCCAGTCTGCATTGTCTTAGTCGGTACTGTTTTTGTGTCTGCACTACTAGCTACCGTGCAGCTACTGGCGGGGCTAGAGATTGAGCCCCAAGACAGAACAAGAGGAGTGAGTATCGCAGTGGCTTAGGTTAGTAAGGAAAACCATTGCCACTATAATCTTCCAGCCCGGTTCCGTAGGGCAAGAAAGGAAGTGAGACGCCAGATGGGATAAATTGTGTATTCTGTACAGAGCTACTGGAGAATATGTAGGAGGAAGTTGACTATCGGACGAGTGCACAACCCCTCTCGAGAAGGCCCCGTCCGAAGTGGGTGAGCGTAGCAGTCTTCACAGTGAGTTCTTGTGGGAGTCAGCCAGAGAAAGCTGATTCACTAGACTGGATTGGCGTAGGCAGGCTTGTATATGCGCACTTGCTAGCAGCCACAGGAGGTTGAGCGTTGGCGTAGATTGTGGAACCTGTGATTGGCTGCCCGAGAGGCGGGCCGAGAACTGCAATCACGTGACCTCGTGCGTGGTGCCAAAGTTGGGTGGCACCAGAGGGTCATTACAGGAGAAGCGTAAGCGGTCGGTAAGTGCTCGTCCAACCATTCATATCACGCTGTCAGTTTGCAATAAACTAGTCATTTACTTAGCATGTTTTCAGTACTTCGTGCCATCATAATTACTGCTGGGCATTAATTAGCTCTGCCTTTATTTTTGCGAATAACACATCCCCGCCTAAAAAAAAGAAGTCGCATGTCCCTAAATATTTCCTCGGGGGTAGCAGTCTTATATGTGGATAAACTATGCCGGCCGTCTGTGGTAAGACAGGCGACGCAAAAGTAGTAAAACAAAACGTGCCTACTACTACTAAGTAAGTAGGCAGTTATGCAAAGTAAACAAGGGGGCTGATCCATAGTAGATTGTTATCCTTTCTGCGGTCATTCTTATTACTGGGCATTAATTAACAGTGCCTTTGCTTGTTGGCACCAACTAGGCTTATTTCGGTCCTGACTGCGCCAAGGCCAGGGCTGCAGCCGACCGCCTCAACAAACTGGTCGTCCAAAAGGGCGCGGACAAGCGCAGCACCCAGCTTCCGCAGAAGTTGCTCGAACTTCTGCGCCAACGCATGTCCGCCATCGTAGCGCGAACAGGCGGTTATGTGGCCACTGTGCACACGGCCTCTGAACGACGCGACTTCATCGACCTCATGGAGGGACCAAAGGCGCGGC